AATAATTCTCAGTATTCTCGAACCCGTTTTTATATCAAAAGAGCCATTTTGGATGTTTTGCGTCATGTTTTTNAAAAAAGATTTAAAAAATGTAGTTTTAGATCTGTAGCTTTAGTTTAAAAAAAATAATGGGAAGTCAATTTTGCATTTTTTTCTTAATTTCTTCCTCTTGAGTTAAATATTATATTATTTAGCTGAAAACAAAAAAGGACAAGAGTTGTTTAAATAGAAAACAGTGTAATCTAAGATATTTTGTGTACTTTTGAGTATTGATATGTGTTTATGTTAAGATATCTACGTGAAGTGTTTCACAACAGTTTACCACACGAAAGCACATTGAGGAAGTGGTGTGCAAATTTAGATGCCCCTCATGATTTACAGAGAAATTATAAGTTTAAAAAATTACATTGCAACTAATTAGTTGCTGAGATGGCGGAATCCAAGATCCAAGATGCAAAGATGAAGGACAAATTATTTTGCGACTGACAGATATTAAACCGAATCTGTCTCAAAACTGTGTCAATCTAAATGACATCTTCAAGAAGGCTGATCATGGAGAACTACATAAATATTCCTTGCTTAGAGAAACTGCACTACTGTACACAGAAGAACTTTCCTTTTTGCCGACCAATAAGTTTGTTCATGGTGATCATTAATTTGTTTAATAGATTTTTAATACATTTTTTTATGAAACCATGTAAATTTTATTCATGAGAGAACAAAAAAATCAAAAAGAGTGATGTCTTTATTTGTTGTGAGACAACATCTGAGAACTTTGAATCAACAAAATAAGTTAAAACCTTCCTCTCAGATCTCTGATTGAAATTTAAACTGCAATTTTACTCGTATATCTTTTGGGAATTTTCGAGATTTGTTTGAAAAAGATTGTATTTAAGAAAGATTTGAACTTATTTCGTCAATTCAAAAGTGTTCAACTTTAACAGAGAAAGTGACATATCTTGCTTTGAACATATCTTGCTTTGAACCATGCTTTTTTAGTCCAAAAATTACAATTTAAATTCTTCCAACTTATGAGATTTAACATATAATTACTAATTGACTTTATTGGCAAAATAATTATTTTGGCATATGTCGAAAAACCAATATAAGGTTAAGAAATTTAAAATACATCAATAACATTTTTAGCATACAAGTTAGGGCCGAACTAACTAAATAAATATTCCTTGCTTAGAGAAACTGCACTACTGTACACAGTCCTACGGCTGAAACATCTTGCCAAGAAGAAGAACTTTCCTTTTTGCCGACCAATAAGTTTGTTCATGGTGATCATTAATTTGTTTAATAGATTTTTTAATACATTTCTTTATGAAACCATGTAAATTTTATTCATGAGAGAACAAAAAAATCAAAAAGAGTGATGTCTTTATTTGCTGTGAGACAACATCTGAGAACTTTGAATCAACAAAATAAGTTAAAACCTTCCTCTCAGATCTCTGATTTAAATTTAAACTGCAATTTTACTCATATATCTTTTGTGAATTTTCGAGATTTGTTTGAAAAAGATTGTATTTAAGACAGATTTGAACTTATTTCGTCAATTCAAAAGTGTTCAACTTTAACAGAGAAAGTGACATATCTTGCTTTGAACCATGCTTTTTTAGTCCAAAAATTACAATTTAAATTCTTTTAACTTATGAGATTTAACATATAATTACTAATTGACTTTATTGGCAAAATAATTATTTTGGCATATGTCGAAAAACCAATATAAGCTTATATTAAATTTCCAGATCAAATTGACGTAGGTATAAGCGCTGTCGGCTAACAGACTAAACTGTCACTAATTAGAAAGTCAGCTGATTCTCCCCCTCCAGCCAGCCATGCGAGCCGTGCCAGCCCGGCAGATGATTTCAACGTTTGATTGATCATAAATCAAAATTTGTTTAATCTTACACAAACTAAAATATCGGCTAATTACAATGAAAGAAAACTGTCACATGACAAAAGAAAGATGTCATATAACAAAGTTTGACACAAGCTGAGAGAACAATGTGTAAGCTATTAACAAGTTTTGTTAGATTGTAATTTTGGAAAATATTCAACGAAATTTGAGTAATGAAAGAAGAAATTTGAAATATGAAAGAAGAACTTTGATGCCTGATGCTAAAGACCAAAATTGCATTTTTTAGAGTGAGGTTAAGAAATTTAAAATACATCAATAACATTTTTAGCATACAAGTTAGGGCCGAACGGGGAAGGGGGGTGGACCGCGCCCCCCCCCTCTTGTAGGATGAAATGGAAGGATAACTCGCACGCTTGGCTGCGCTAATAATTCTAAGTATTCTCGTACCCGTTTTTATATCAAAAAAGTCATTTTGGATGTTTTGCGTCATGTTTTGCTATTTTTTTTGAATAGTTGAACTTTGCACAAGGAGTTAGAATATCGACTTGACAAATGTACATTAATTGGTTTCTGCATTTATATTCATGCTTAAAATGACGTCTACAAAAATCCCCCTCTTCTTTAAATGTACATGTTAACCTTTATGTTCAATTATAAGGAGTCTGTACAATTCCCCTGTACAAACTGTCCATCAGCATTCTATACTCTACCCTTTCTCCGCTTGAGATATTAAAGAATTACGACATCGGACTGCAAAGATATAGGGATTAGAAAACCAGAGTTTGTAGAAAAATCAAAATATTTATTGTCAAATCTAGTTATGTACAAAGCATCAATTAAAAAAATTTTGCGAACATTTTTTAAAACGCTTTTTTTAAAAAATCCCTTGAATTTAGAATGCAGCTAGGGTTTCCAGCGCATGTGGATTTTTCTTGCGCGCAATAGCGATCCCTGTAAACTCCGTGCAATTCCGCGAAATTCTACACAATTCCGCGCATTTCCGTGCAATTCGAGAACAGTTGTGCGCAATCACGCGCAATTCCACACAATTCCGCGTAATTCCGCGCAACGGAATTCCGATTAGAAACCCTAATATGCAGCATCGTGATTTCTTGTAAACTTTGCCAAACACACACTCAGCATTCACACACACACAGACATAAAACACCCCGCTTACTTTCCTTCACACAATAAAATTACAGGATTTGTGTGTGACAATTGTTTGAGAAAGTCAAGTCATGTTGTATTTAGTAGTTTTACTAGATTTACCTCCAGTTGACCTGCACGGCTCTATATATAAAGTATGAGAAATTCAGAACGCGTCGCACCTTTTTCTAATGTTTGTTTTATTACTTCTGGAATTTTTCTTTTTTAATAATGTTTAAAATCATAATTCTTGAACATTTGCTGAATCAATATTTTTGGTTGCAACTTTTTTTATCCATTCCAAGGCCATTGAGCTGAAAGGAAGGGTGCAATTAATTGTTTTGCTTTTATAAAATTTCTTAAACCTCGGTAAATGGATTGGTCTCTATTAATGTCTTTTGACATACAGGGTGTCCCACGAAACATGACAGTTTGTAAACAGTTAAAATGTCTTCTTCCATAACTTGTCCAATTATTTGATAGCTAAGAAAATAATAAAAAAATGCATGACAATCATATTAAAGAAAAATTGATTTTAAGGTAAAATATCTTTGAGTAAAAAATTTGAGCAAAAAGTCTAAAACATCTAATACAGTATAATATGGAAGAAGACATTCAAAACTATTCACCCACGGGCAGCCGTAGTACATTTGAATTTCCGAGCCGGGTCAACCTTTCCGGTCCCAGTTTGTACTGTATTGCCCGGGGAACACTAGAAGACACTAAATAGGACTAGCCGGTGTAACAAGGTTGACGCGGTCAGACTTTAGGTTGAATTTACTTTTACTAAAGGGTCAGCGGTGCGTGCACCAAGTGTCATGTTTCGTGGGACACCTTGTGTCTAATTTACAAGAACATTTGTTTCTTCTGGAATAATATGAATGTCTTCATGTATTTCAAACACTTAAGAACAAATTTCAGAGGACTTTTGGCTTTTGCTTCTTCTCGTCTGTCCATCTACTAAAGCTAAAAAAAAAGTTACGGTTATTACGTCTTACCATGAGTATTTTGAAACAGTTAAAAAATCCCTTGATATGGGAAGGGTGAGGATAGATTAATGTAAAATGTTTGGTAAGTTGTGTTTATTTATTTACATGTTTTCTTTTGTTCACACAAAATCTATATAATATTAACGGGTGTAAACAGTAAAATGTACATATAGAGGGGTTAATATACGCCCCTGATTTAGTTACTGTTTTTATACAGTTTAACTCAGAACTTTGTACACATCCAACGAATTTATAAAATGTCGTCTTGACAATTTTTCAACGGGATTTATTCTATTTTAATTAAATCTCAGTAATTGAAAAAAAAATTGCCATAAAATATGCGGGAACAGTTTTAAAGAGTTTCATTATATAATTCAATTAAAAAACTAAACATCTTAGAAATAAAATGTTGATCCCTGAGTTAGCTGAGCAGAAGGGGGAGAAGGGAGAAGCTTCTGGAAGATTTGTTGTTGCTCTTCAAGATCTAGAACCAAACACAGAGGTATGTAAAACAATAATTAAATTGAAGACGACACTTAAAAAGTTCCCATTGTCTTCAAAAGAAGACCCAAACTCTAGATTTGAAGCTTAATATTTGGTTTCTGCATTAAATTGAGTTTTACAATGGTTTACTAAATGACAAGAAGAGAAATATGCCAGTTTTTGTCTATTTAAAGAACACTGAAAGCAAGAAAACGGACTAATTAAATTCCGTACAATCGGCATGGAAGTATAAACCTTTGTGGGTAACCCTGTAAGATAATTTTGGATCATTACATTAAAAAAATACCAAAAAGTTATTGTGTTTACTCTGTAACAAATGCCTTACTCCAATAGTTCTTTAAGACTGTATCAATCTAGATACAACTCTCTCTGTATTCTTAAGTATGTATCAATCCAGATCCAACTTTCTCAGTAATCCCCCCCCTCCTTAGAAAACTCATTTTTCACGTTAGAAACTGAAGAATAACAAAAAGACTAAATTACACTTTCCCTAATCCCACATATTCAACAATTTGTTAAACAATGTTCCCATTCTTTAATTAAATTTTGTACACTTGAGTTTAAAAGTCGAGTTCCTATTCCAAAGTTTTCTGGTTATCGCTGTACTTCAAGTATTCAAACATCTGAAAATATATTTGACATATTTTTATTACTTAACTGTGAAAATTCCCAGTTTGGTTCCTACTCCTGCTCTAGCTGTAATCTTCCAGTTTGCCAGCCTTGCAGTTCAGGTGCGTACAATCGTCGTTATAAATATCAATACAATGAAGACGACTTTCTATTTAAATTTATGATTTCTACCAATCTTTCAAACATCAGAGACACAAAAACATGTAAACAATTAGAGAAGTTGACAATTGACAGCTTTTCTTTGTTTTGCAAACTTTTTATCTGAAAAATGTCTGTAAGGGATCAATAAGTTATTCATAAAAAGTCGTCTTAGTTTTTAATATAAAATTGCCGACTACTGTATATTTATATTCAGTTTAGGTTAAGGTTTAATATTTAATTTAGATTTGTTTGTTTGTTTGTTCGTTTATTTGATTGAGTCTCCGATCATAACTCATGAAGCCCTGGACCGATTTGTCTCAAATTTTGACTGGGGAACTTGGGAGAACCATAGAACTGTTCTCATCTGGGTTTAAAAATTATAATTTGAGTGGGCTGACTTTGAAAGGGCAAAGCTGGGTCCTAAAGCTATATAGTAAAGATATGAAACACAAAAAAATTATTTTTTTTAGGGAAGTTTTTATACCATGAGGAAGAATGCAAAATATTCCAGTCAAACCAAATTACATTCAGGAAAAGAAATAATTTTTCATTTTATACAGTGCTGGCGATTAAATCAATATTATGACGACGACTTTTCCATTTAAGTTTTGATTGTTAACAAGCTGTTTTCAAATTACAAGTTTAAAAGTAAAAAAAGAAGCTTCTCTTTGTTGCCATGTTTATGTGTATCCGGATGCTGTTTAAAAACTTGATATAAATCTAAATCAAAAGTCGTCTTCTTTGGTATATGCGACTAACAGTGTTTAATGAATTTTGATAAAACCTTTAAACAAAAATTGACAGAAACGCAATGTTTGCAATTAGGAATACAACCACCGCTAATTGTTGCCCCATGAAGGCTTTAAGAATTGATTTGAACAACGACGACATCCTATTTTTACGCCCAAATTTTATTCATAAGAGGAGTTAATTTATAATCATAAATTTGTGACCTATGGTTAGGTATGGATCGTTTCCACTTTTTGGAAAACTGTTGTTTCCTTTTAAAAACGACGAAGAATAAACGTAAAACGAAAAGATCTTTTTTAAAATAGTTTTTTTGTAAAACGAAATGATCTTTTTTGAAAAAATAAAAACGAAACGGAAAACAATCGTTTCTTCGATCGTCTGTTAAAACGAATAACAACCCTACCTATCGTTTGATAAAATCGTTTTAAAGGTTTGTTACATATTTTTTTTATTATGCTTTAATGTCGTCGTTATAACCTTACAAACCCGCACTGAAAAATGTTGACAACAAATAATTTTTATCAATGCAATTTCTCTAAATGCACAGAACTGCACTATAGTTTTAGTCTAGGGTTTCCAACGTAATAGATTATTCACCTACGCAAAATTACGTGCAGTTACGCGAAATAAATTCATTTTGTAAAATTTCGCAGGATTACGCCTTATTGCTGAAATTTCGCGAAATTACGGCGTATTTTGCGTAATTTGTAGGAAGTAATTTCCCGAAATTTTGTAATAATTACGCTAATTAGCAAAACTTTAATTTCGCAGGATTTCTGTAAGGTGATTTCGCGAAATTTTTAATAACTACGCATTGTCAGAGAAACGTCTATTTTACCAAATTACACCATAATTTCGCGAAATTTTACATCAATTCCGCCAAATTAGCGAAACTTCAATTTGATAATATTTAAATTTTCCAATCGAGATTGTACATGGTTGTAGCGCGGATATATTGACATATATAGACACCCTTTCGTATCTGTCAGTAATACTAATTTCGCATAATGCTCCTGCGTAAGTGAAACAAAGTAATTACGACTGGAAACTCTCTACTACTCAGGGGAATTTGTAATTGTCAAAAGGGACTTTTGGTTGTCTTCCTCATTTATATTAAATATATTTTGAAAGAGATGCAAAAAATTCCTTGTCGACGATGAGACTGGTACCCTGGAAAACATTTTATGATCAAAAATTATATCTTTTTTTTTCTATAAATTCATAGTATTTGCAGTTTAAGCTAAATGAAGCAAATTGACAGAACATACATTTTTTAAGAGAGAAAATTGGCGATATTTTTCTAATTTTACTCAGACAACAGATTGCAGGATGCCGTTGTGAATTAGACTTGCAATAAAGAGTCGCATGAAATAAGGTTCCTACAAGATTTAGTATTTGTTTAAGTGAACCATACTTAAAATACCAATATTTCTTTCCCATAGTGATGACAATGTAAGTAAAGTGTATCCCTGTATAACTGTACTGCGGATGCTCATTAGAGGAGTACAGGACCTAGAAACACATGTACAGGTATAAAGATCAGAAGCTTGAAACACATGTACAGGTATAAAGTACAGAAACTAGAAACACTTGTATAAAGTACAGGATCTAGAAACACATGTATAAAGTACAGAAACTAGAAACACCTGTAAGTAAAGAGACTGATCATTAAGAAAATGTTAAAAATTGGAAATTCCCCAAATACCTGGGAATCTGAGGGAAGTTTATTCTGAAATTATAGGAAATTTCTCAAACGCCTAGCTATTTGGGAAATTTTCCAAATACCCAGACATTTGGAGAATTTCCCTAAATATCCAGTCATTTGCGAAATTTTCAAAATCTGAAAAATATACCACCCACTAATTTCTACAAGTAATTTGGGAAATTTTAAGAATTCCCCAAATGCCTGGGAATCTGGGAAATTCCCCAAATACCTGGAACTCTGAGGGTAGTTTATTTTTCAATTATAGTAAATTTCTTCAATGCCTAGCTATTTGGGAAATTTTCCAAATACCCAACTTCCTTAAAGAATCTGAGAGTGTTTTATTTTTCCTTTTCAGAAAAATTTTCAAATGTCAAACTATTTGGGAATATTCTAAATATAAGGAATCCATAGAATTCCCCAAATACCTAGGATTCTGGAAAATTCCTCAAATTCTTGGAAATCTGGGAAATTCTCCAAGTTCCTATTTTCTTTAAAAGTATACTTACTTCTGGTTCATGTAATGTTGTTTACCATAAATATAACTTCTCCCCCCCCCCTCCCCCCATAATTCGTCTTTACCAAAACCTCTCTCGGAGAAAACTCCAAACCAAAGCAAGTCTCTATTCAAATTTATCTGTACTCTCCGACAAAAGAAACAACAAATAGTGAAACGTTTTGCTTAGTCAAAGATCAAATCCACAAATAACTTTGCAATCAATAGTTAATTCCACTTAAACAACCAGGTTTATATTTTCAGAAGTATTTACAAATGTTTTAAACTATTCCATCAAACCCTCAAACCCTAATTACTCCTTTCACTCTTACGAAAAACTAGTAAAATATATTTTAGATATTTAACTATATTAACAGATTGTCATTTTTATGTTTTACTATACCTGTGTTTTTATTACAGGTTTGAAATACATCTATTTACTGATTATTGCGACTACTGTGTCCGAGTTAAGGAGCCTAACCAACCAACCAATTAACCAACTAGCCAATAAACCAACTAGCCAACCTAAATCTGATTGTCATATCGACACCCCACCCACGCTTCATCAAATGTATTTATCTTTTAGGCTCGTGAGGGTACTCCAGTCTGGGTTTACAATGAGAAGTCAGTTGTACCGTTTCTTACCTCTTTAAAGGACAACAATGGAAATCCTTTGTTTAGTAAGGTAATTTTTAAGCAGATTGATATGTATCATATATCATCCTGTGTTCCGCAGAGGCTTATACAGGAAGCTCAGCCCCCCCCCCCCCTCCTCTGGTTTAGCGAAAGCTATGGTTTTCAAGGGATTTTAAGGCCCCAATGGGTGCTTGAACCCCCCCCCCTGGAAAAAAATAAAAGTTTAAGCCCCCCCGGGACTATATATTCCTGCTGTATTAGTGGGAATAATCATTGTTTTAAGAATACATAGTTTTTAGATTCCACAATAATATGATATGGATTCCATGTTTTAACATTGTATTCTCCATCTGTTTCCTTTTATTACATTGTAGGACATATTCTCCTTAACCAAAGATATTATTCAAACTTATAGAACATAAAATTAAGAAAAATCAAACTTCTGACATTTTTGTGAAGCCTCTCACGGGGTAATTTCAAGTGACCCTCCATGCAAAGATGAGAGTGCCCGATTTACAACGGTACCCTTGAAACCTTAATCTGATCAAAAATATAAAAGATACTGTTGTATTTCTGAGTTTATATTTGCGAGTTTCTTCATTGCTTCTCATAAACAAGAAATGCGCAAGTGCACTTGTGCTTGAGAAACCGGAAATGAAAATAAACAGTTAAAGGAATCCAAACATTAAAATATAATTCCTGCTTGATCAGACAAAGCTTTCAAGAGTACTGTTGTAAATCGGGCATTGCAATCTTTGCATGGAGGGTCACTTGAAATGAAGTTCGGTACTTTCTCAAAGGATTTTTCCCAAGTGACAACTTCCCAAAGGTATTTTGCCAAGTGGCAACTTCTCAAGTGACAATTTCCCAAATGTGTAATTTCCCAAGCGCTGTCCTAGCCGCAGCGCTCGGTCCCTAGTATATTCTAGCCGCGGGAGTCGGCCGCCTAGCCCATCCTAGCCGCAGCACTCGACCCCAATGGCAGCCTGCGGTGCCTCAGAAGGGAAGTTGCCCCTTGGGAAATTGCACATTTGGGAAATTGTCACTTGGGAAGTCACCCTTGGGAAAATGCCTTTGGGAAAGAACCAAACACCCTTGAAATTCACTTACAGCCCCTTAAAGAATGAAAAAAACCACCACTTTACTTATGTTTTATGTTAAATGTTTATATATATCTAGGAATACATTCATGAAGCAACAGGAGCACTTGATACAAACAGTTTCCAGGTTCAGGTCAGTAATATTCATAGAGAAGAGAGATAATATAGAGAGGAAGCAATATTTATAGAGTAAAAAGATAATATAGAGAGGAAGTAATATCCAAAGAGTAAGAGATTATGTACAGTGAAAGTAATACCCATAGAGTAGAGAGAAAATGTTAAGAGGACGTAATATCCATAGAGAAGATATATAATAATATTCATAGAGAAGAGAGAAAATATAGAGTGAAAGTAATATCCATAGAGTAAGAGATTATGTACAGTGAAAGTAATACCCATAGAGTAGAGAGAAAATGTTAAGAGGACGTAATATCCACAGAGAAGATATATAATAATATTCATAGAGAAGAGAGAAAATATAGAGTGGAAGTAATATCCATAGAGAAAGAGATTATGTACAGTGGAAGTAATACCCATAGAGTAGAGAGATTATGTTAAGAGGAAGTAATATCCACAGAAGATATATAATATTGAGAGGAAGTCCTGTCCACAGAGTAGAGAAATGATATAGAGTGGAAGTAATAACCATAGAGAAGATGAAAAACATGAGTGTAAATAATATCCCTACAGTACGTAGAGAGATAATATAGAGAGGAAGTAATATCCTATAGAGTAGAGAGATAATATAAAGAGGAAGTAATATCCATAGAGTAGAGAGATAATATAAAGAGGAAGTAATATCCATAGAGTAAAGAGATCATATAGAGTGGAAGTAATTTCCATAGAGTGGAGAAATAATATAGAGAGAAAGTAATTTCCATAGAGTGGAGAGATAATATAGAGAGGAAGTAATATACATAGAGTAGAGAGATAATATAGAGTAGAAGTAATAACCATAAAGTAGATGGATAATATAGAGAGGAAGTGATATCCCTACAGTAGAGAGATAATATATAAAGGAAGTTATATCCTATAGAGCAGAGAGATAATATAAATAGGAAGTAATATCCATAGAGTAGAGAGATAATATAGAGTGGAATTAGTACCAGAGAGCAAAGATATCTTGTAGAGCGAAAGTAATGTCAATAGAGTTGAAGTAATATTCATAGCGTAGAGAGAAAATGTAGAAAGGAAGTAATATTTGAAAATTAATAAATGAATAATGAAACCGACCATTCTCACTTAACTATTCATTTATTACAATAAAATAATACAGGATGCGGATGTAAAAGCAAGAGCTGTTTTTCCAACAGCTTCTTTATTTAACAACAGCTGTAAACCTAACTGTTTCAGGTAACACTTATTCATTAGCAATATTTATAGTCAGTCTCACTAACATTACAATTTTTTTATCATCTCCTAAATTTCTTAGGTTTCAGTCTATACTCCCTTTCATTTTTCCTTTACAGTCGATCCCTTTGACAAGCTTTTTTCGAATTGCAAGTTAACAAGATATCATAGAGAGGCTTGACAGCTTGGCTTGACCTATATGTTTAATAGCTTGATATGAATCAAAATAAAATCAAAAGTCGACTTCATTGTATTGATATAATCGCCTACAACTGTAGGTAGTTTTAAGTCAGATTGTACACGGCAAAATTTAGAGCAAAAAATTAAATAAAGTTCCATTTTAAAAGTGATGATGATTTAAAGTTTCGAGCATACAGGAAATCTCAAATGAACATGTTAAACATAACAATTAACAATCAATCAAAATAATTGATAACAGAAACAGTTGTAAGCAAAAATGCCACAGAATGCATGTGCACATGAAAAAAAAAATTATACAAAATAGCATAATGGCATCGAGATGGATTTCTGATTTTTTAATTTCATGTTTCAATACGTTTTCAAACCAAGCATTACTGTTTAGGGTAGTAAATCGTAACGGAATCTCTATAATAACTACAGAATTGGTAAAAAAGGTAAAAAATAACCCCCAAATTTAAATTGCATTTTCAAATAGTTTATTTCCTCCATTATCTGTGCACCCAGTGGCACTGCAGGCTATCAGGACTGTGCAAATTTGAAGTAAATTTCACCAAGAAATAGTACACCAAAACGTTGGGCTAAGTTAGAGTTAACTGATTTATAAGCCAATATGACCGAAGCCAAATTCTATTTGTTATCAATTTTATTTAAATAAATATCTTATTGAAATGTTATAAATTAAAAGCAATTAAGATTTTCATAAAAATTAGAGAAAGAGTCTCCAAATTTAATTCTAGAAATTCCTTTCAACAAATTTTCCAGGGCTCAGAGTTAACGATCTGCTACACAGGACTTCTCACGCCAACACATATAAGGTTAGTCAAAATTAATCAATTTTAACAGTTGTAATGAAAAATGCAAATTGTCAGCATTTTTTCATTAAAAAAGTTAGAATTTATGCATTTTAAGAACTATGACTTATAATTTTGGTTTTTAAGAAAAAAACAAACTTTGGTGAAACTGCAGTCTGATTGTTATGCTTGGATTTCTTTTGTCAGATAATTACAGATGTAAATTAAATTTAAGCTTTGCCAAAAAACATTTTTACCCATTAAAGGAACATTCTTTAACAATCCCGAAAAAAAACATTATTTTCAAATTATTTTTTAACAAAATAAAACTTCATGAAAAAACTTCTGTAAATTTAAAAACTGCAATGAATACTTAAAAAAGACCTAGTAAATTTTGTTACTTTTATGCTCAAAAGTACATGAACAAAATAAAAACATATTTTCTATGTAATTCTGGATGTTGTCCTTTCTTAAATAAACTTTTAAAGTTTAAAAGTAAAACTCTCATTATTTAATTGACCAACAGTTTAAAAAGTGTTGGGAATATTCACTGTTCACACCAACCATTAATAAAGTAATAATGTGATAAAAAATTTAAGAAAAATTAAAAATTAAACAAATACAGGCAGGCTGTGTTCAAGCACACCAAACACTTTAACTGCAGCTGTCCACGTTGCCTGGATGTAACTGAAGAAGGAACATTTCCCACGTGTTTACTTTGCTCTGCATGCGGTGGCAGACTGGAGGGAAACTCCTGCATCAGCTGTAACCAATCACAGGACGCTCAGAGAATAGAACAGGTGAGTTACCTGGCTTAGCTGGAATATTAAATTTTGATCAAAATTAAATTGAATAATCTGCCAGGTAAAAAGAATGAAATAACCTCATTTTAAAGTATCACTAAAGGACTGTTTTCGCTATTTCAAGTGACTCTGATGATAAGATTGCAATTCCTGATTCATATGGTATCCTTTCAAACTTTGACTGAATCTACGATCATTAATCTACGAAAACACCTTCAATTTTTAAGCACTTTGTTTGAAAGCTGTTTTAACTTAAGTAAAGATGGGCATTTTTTATGGAACGAACAAAATTTTTGACAACAAACAAAATTTTTGTGGAAAAGGGTCTTGTTCAGAAAATAAAACGAATGATGGATGCACAAAATGAATCGTTTAGAGAAATAAAAAATAATGCTCATTTTAAAAAAAACTTTAAGAAACGAAACTTTTTTACAAAACGAATGAATTTACAAACATTTTTTGAAATGGGGCGTTCCCAAACGATTAACAAAAGAAATGAAAAATATTTAACATGCTCATCAATAGTCTTAAGTTTTAAAAATTTAAATATTCACTTTCTAGAATTGGCAGAAAATTGATTTTTGGAAACTACTTTTGATATAACAAGTAACACACTGTATGTACAACATGTTTTACAGTAATTCAAGTGGGTTTCAAGAGATTTAAACGCAAAGCTCTCTTTACTCGATGAACAGTCAAAAGTTTGAAGCTTTCTGCTGTAAATCAGCCATTGCCCTTTCTTTGCATTCTAACAACAAGGTTATAATGCAAGGAAAGTAAATTGAACTTGCTTATACTTTGCGTACAAATTGAAACCAGTTCTCTCTGGGCGGAATTTTCAAACAAGAATAGATCAGTGTTCGTTTTGTATCCGAGGAGGTTAAAAGCATTAAATTTTGATTATTTTGATTATTCACATCAAAGTTTCCTATGACCAAAATATTTCATTGATTTTTTATGTGAAAGATGGATCCCATGTCAGGCTTGTGTTTACATTACCGTCCAGAGACAGTACACTGTAGTACAAAAGATGCGCACACCTCTAAAATAACTTTCCTTGCATTATAACCTTGCCTAACAACGTCTTTTGGCATATTTTTATTATTTTAAAAACCTGTGTTCCAGATCAGCTTATTGTGTGACACTCTGGTTAGTAGACTTGTACAAGAGGAAAACTGTGAAATATTGACAGGAGGTAATCTTAACAATAAAACTCAAGTTTTCTAAATTCTAATCCCTATTTTTGCAAAATAATGATTTAAACCTTTGATATTTCATACTTAAATTATTTGATCTAACAGAATTTTAGTTTGAAATATCTAACATTATAATATATCAACATTATATTAATTATATATTATCATTGTAATATATGTTTTTTTTTATAGTCATAAACAATTATAGACATGTTAGGTATTCTTTTTCAATCAACCATCGGTATAAAGAGAAAGGTTAGATAGGATGAACATTTTTCTAATTGAACGACTTGGAAAATCACGAATGTGGAAAAAATGATTCAGCTCATATTCAACAAAAAATTTCTTATTTTGCAGTCATCCAAATTTTGCAAGCATTTAGTTATAGTTTTTAAATGTTTCTCTTTATCAGATTGGCAACCTGGCTTGAATAAACAGAAATATATATGATTTAAAGTTTTAAGTTTTTGTATTTTTAAAGGATATTTAACAAAACCAATCGTAAATTGAGGAAATCAAAAATTGAAATCAAAACCTTATTTTTGTAAAAATCCATTCTTTACAAACAAATAAAATTCACAATTGACAAAAATAGTTGTAGTTGATTATTTAAATTTGAAACCAACATTGTGACTTCATATTCATATACAAACATTACTTTTTGATTTATTAGGACTTTTATGCAAAAATTCTTTTCTTATTTTAAAATGAAATATGATTAATGAAATCATATATCTATAGATTTTCAAAATTCCACTATTTTTTAAATCCTAAAATCCTATATTTTTTAAATCCTTTAATTCAAAATTTGTAATTTTAATTTTCCCTTGATTTTTTTATTTAAAGTGTCAAACCATTGTTTGATCAATTTTGTCGAATTTCCCAGCTTGTAAATAGAAAATCACAGAACTAAAATAATCAATTTTTAAAGAGAAGATCGTGAATGTTTAATTTCTTCGAGACAAAGATTTTATTGGATCCAAACAAACGGACAAACATAGTATATAAATACACACTTTGCTTGTCTGTTTGTATATGAATAAATAGCAAGAGTTTTCAATAATGTTGTATCTTACACAAATACACATTTGTGTTCAATATAATTTTCTGTACTATGGATTAATAAATTAAATATATTATTAAGGTTTGATGAAGCTGAGACGCCTTGTTTATCTTCACCATTATCTGCTTGTTAAGCTTAAACTCCACTTTATAAAACATTCAGGTAGTAAGTACAGGGTGTCCCAAGAAACATGGGAATTCAGTCACTAATTCGATATCGTCATTTTAAATAATTCTTTGATTTAGTATAGTGATACCTACTGAGAAAGCTGCAATTTCTGTAAGAGTTTCGTCTGCTATGTACACAATTTGTTTGTTTATGTTTTGACTGCATACGGTTGTATTTAGCAAAACAAGAAAGTTACAGTATACAAACAGAGTAAACTTGTCCGTTTTCACTATTCATCTTGCGGAGACATTATAGACACATCTTTACAGTCTTTTTCCCTTTTCATAAAATAAATTCTAGCAGACATTATAATAATATGGCTTTTGAAATTAGGTATCACAATGCTAATACATAACAAAGACGATATCCAATTCGTCACTGAATTCCCATGTTTTTGGGACACCCTGTACGTAATCGAGGAGAGGGGGGGGAGGGGGTTGAGAATCCAGGTGGAATATATTAAATACAGAGAATACTGTAACTCTATTTAATAATTTTTTTAAATTTTGTATTTATATCTTATGAAATGGAAATTTTTTGGACATTAATTTGATTAATTAAAAAGCAAAAAATGAACTTTTTACAGAATCCAGTTTTGAAATGTTTCTTAACACGGCCCGGGGGTACTTATGGGGGGTTGTTGGAGGTAACTAACCCCCCCCCCAAGACTTTTGGGATGTGTATCCACTCCTGAACCTTGGTTCAAATCTTGCAAAAAATTATATATTAACAACATTTTTTGGCGCCTCATGCATTAACACTTTTTATAATTTTCTTTACTGAATTGTCTCACTTTACTTCATCAAATTAACACAGACGACTTTTCAGAAACACTTTAATATCCCTACGCCTTACAGCAGAAAAATTTGTTAAAAAGACCTTTTTCCAATTAGTTTCACATTAGATTCCATTATTAAAATACAGAAGCGTATTGAAAAAATCATATAATATTCAATCATTAAACTTTCATATTTTCTAATACAAATCTTCAGAGGGGCTGTAACAACATTTCCGCAAATGCTTAGCCCCTGAATAGGCGTATATTAGGGTAGAAAGTTTATATTTGATCAAGCTTGTATTAAAAGCCAAAAATAAGTGAAAAAATTTAAATGAAGCCAAAGTTAAAGGCATAATTTGATACACATTAAAAAGGGAGTTAAAATTGCTTACCAGACCCTTCATAATTGTAATAGCGTCATTTGAAATTAGCACTCCACAAACCTTAAATTGATATTTTTAGAAAAGTGTTCTACATGTTATGATGGAGCTGCAAGAGCTCAGTGTTCTACTGAGATCGCAGATCTTCTAAAAATTCATAAAATTGAGAAAACCTGGCTGAAACATGAAGAAATAAGGTCAGATCTTTTAATTCGAATTTTAGAAATATTTACGTAAAATATTTTCATTAAAAATTTAACATAATGCCTTGCCTACTTGGAAATATGTATTTTGCGAATAACACTCAAACTAAAATTATAAACCTTTAAAAACAAAGAAGAAAATTTTTTTTTATGACGAAAGTTTTTTAAAATTATTTATTCATATTTTAAAGGGACAGCAAAGGGAAAATGAAAGGGGGTATAGGCTGAAAGCTAATCACATTAGCTCTTGATCGCGACCCATGAAAGTTATATCTGATGTTCCTGTCTGGTGAAACTGATATAAAACTGTGTTAAAATTATACGAAAATTCATATATGTAAAATTTTGAAATTCTGAAACTTAAATCACGTGACCAGAACTATCACCAATGGCAGAGCAGTATACTGGTCACGTGTCTCCGCCTGTATCACGTGACCACTTTACTGCACTGCCATTGGTGGAATTTCTGGTCAAGTAATACGGACGTAAAAATAATATTATGAATGAAATCTATTGAAAATAGAAATAACAAATATAAAAGTAAGCCTAATTTACAATTAGCTTTCTTTGAGATATCATCGTTTTCAGATTGGTTGCATATTTGCTGAATATGATCTGTTTAAACCTACTCCTTTTATACAAAATTGTATATATATTAATTTTCGTATATATTTGACACAGTTTTATATCAGTTTCTTCAGACATGAACATCAGATATGACTTTCATGGGTCGCGATCAAGAGCTAAAGTGATTAGCTTTCACACTATACCCCCTTCCATTTTTCCTTTACTGTCCCTTTAATATAAAAAAACATAGTTAAGAAAATATACTTTAGGGCTCATGACGTTTTTATCTTAAGATAAGATAAGATAAGATAAAGTTTATTGCTAAAATACATGTAACTGTGTACAGAACGAGTTTACAATTACAAATTGATGATTATATTAACAGTACAAGTATAAAGCAATTATGGTAGAAAATAGCTCTTGGCTGTTTTGATTATTTTTTCCACCTAATTTTAATAATAATAACAAAACATTTCAATTAAATAGATTTAAGGAGAACGATTAGAGATCAGGGTGCGAATTTATCTTATGCAAAATAGTTTATACATTAATTCGAATAACTGGTAATTTTCTGCCATGTACACAACAAATATCAAAGCATATTAAAACATATCTAATTAGTTTTACATGAATAGCAATTCGGTTTATAACACATTGTCCTATAATTTTCAAAAAAGAGAATTTAGTAGTCTATTTTTAAATATACTTAGAGAGTTGCTTTATTTTATTTTTAACATTTAAATGTTAAATCAAACTTCTATGGAAGAATCCAATTAAACTTAATTTCAAGTGACCCTTCATTTAAGGATTGGAATTTCTAACTTTCAAAGGAGTTGAGCATTTGCCACAAACTCTAATTTCCTACTTTCAATACCTTTTAAACCAAATGTCGTTGACCCTAGATATTACAAACTATGAATTCTGTTAGATCAAATAGTTTAAGTTTGATTTGTTAAAGGTTTACACCATCAGGTTAGAAAATATATAGGGATTAGAACATTCAAGTTTGTGTCGCAGTCTCAATTTGCAACGTTTTGTTGAAAAATCTGCCAATATTTTGCCAATCTTTTAATTTGTTTAGAGGCAACCAGGAGACTCTATGCAGTTGGAAATCCTTAATGGCGGAGAAAAAAGAAAATTAGATTCTTTGTGAATTAAAAAAACAATTGTCATTTATTAAATTTATTCTGGTTTTCATGTACATTTATACTGGTTTTCATGTACATTTATACTGTTTATCATATACATTTATACTGGTTTTCATGTACATTTATACTGGTTTTCATGTACATTTATACTGGTTTTCATGTACATTTATACTAGTTTTCATGTACATTTATACTGGTTTTCATGTACATTTATACTGGTTTTCATGTACATTTATACACTGGTTTTCATCCAAGTGTTGAAGAAATATGATACATAATAAAACTTAACAGGGTCTTGAACAGGATCGTAATGCCGACCTCTATCTGAACTGGGGGGAAATAGGCTAAACTGGGGTTGGGACATATAACACATGTGGAAGAAATATGATATCCTACTTAAACTGAACAGGGTCTTGTATTTAAGACCTCTACTGACGCAGGAGGGGTGCTTGAAGAAAGGGATGGGGAGAGGAATGCTCAAATATTTTAATGGTTATTTCTCAAGTTACAAATATTTGGTTAAATTTGATATTTTTTTCAAAATACATAGGGACGGAGAAGGAAGGGAAGACGTCTCGGACCCCCTTTCAGATCCCCTAATTCTATGTGGGTATAGTAGTACACTAATATTAGATGATTTCCCACCATACACACAGAAACATGATGAACATCTCATGAGTAATAGTGTATAGTTTATTTTGTTTAGTATTTTATGATTATACATTCTGTAATATCGATATTTTTAGTTATTATTTTTAATTTATCTCATGTGATTTCATAATAAAATGTGTAAATAAAAGTTTTGTTTAGTTTAGTATTTTATAATTTGTAATATCGATAGTTTTTAGTTTAGTTTTATTTTAATTTATCTAGTGTAATTTCATAATAAAATTTTTGCCTTACTCTGAAAAGTTCATGTATCAATCCAGATTTTAATATTTTCAAATACAAATGCCTTACTCTTAAAAGTTCATGTATCAATTTCATAATAAAAAATTTAATATTTTTCAGGTGCTAGTTATATACCTACTCCTAAAGGTAAAGTTGGTAAGAGAGCTGTTATCAACGTGCAATACTCTGATGAGCAATGCTTCCTACGCAATAGCATCTTAAGCTATACAATACAACAGGAAAAACTGATGCACAGGAAAATAGGAAGAAGGAACGACCAAAGCAGTATGATGCTATCATATCAACTCTAAAATATGAAGGACTCACATACCCTGTTCCTATCAAACAAGTACCAAAATTTAAATTTTAAATTCCCTGTTTAGTAACATGTTGTATCTGTTCGAGAGCAACATTAAGGAAAACATATAGCATCATATCTGGATTGAAACAGGCTGAATTATTATTGTAAATGAGTTTTATCTGTACCATACATACTGAGAATACAGAGTGTTTTATCTGGCTTGATACAGACCTAGTCATTATTGTAGAACGTAGGGTTCTAGAGCAAGTTATATCTGTACGATACATAATGAGAATACAGAGTGTTTTATCTGGCTTGATCCAGACCTAGGTATTATTGTAGAACGTGATGATCTAGAGCGAGGTGTATCTGTAAGATACACCTCGCTCTAGAATTCAAAGGTTGTATCTCAATTGATATATATACTTGAGAATACAGAAGATTATACCTGGATTAAGAGAACTTGTTGGAGTAAGGTATTTGTTATAGATAGATAAGTACCAATGCTAGATAGTTAGTAAAATAGATAGATAGTTAATGAAATAGACGAATTGTTATAAATATAAATATATAAAAGATAATTAAATTTTACAACTTCCTAAATTAACATTTTACCAACTTGAAATTGAAATGTCCAGGTAGAATCCTAAATATTTCGTTGTTTCGATATTGAACAAACATAAAGTTGGGGTTCTTCTACTACCATGGTAATAAGGAATTTTTTTTTAATTTTGAAAAAAAATTTTAAAAGCAAAAAATGTCGATTTTTTTAGCCTATGTCACCCCAGGCTACCCATGAGTATGCTCAAAAAAAATCAGCCGATTCGGTTTGACCGGCCAGAGGGAACAAAAATACGAATTTTTTGTTTTATTATAAAGATAATTGAAAATTATGTATATTTTAATCTAGTTTACTGGTTAAATAGGTTAAAGGTTTTATTTGAGCTGGTATAATACATCTCAATGTTTTTAAGAGTTATCTTATTTCCAGGTTTTTTCATAAAAAATCCAATTTTTCGTTTTAAAAATCTTTAATTGATTGTTGACATTAAATTAAAAAATACGTTTTTATTCTACAGTCACAAAATAAAAATGTTGAGATGTATTATACTAGCTCAAATAAAACCTAGCTACTAAAAAAAGATTTTTTTGTTTACCAATAATGTATAAGCTGAAATAAATGTTGTCTGCAGTTTGGCTAATCAAAACTATATGATCGCCACAGACTACGTGGACTGAAATTTACGATTTTTTCACCTGCAAATATCTGAACAAAGTCAGTAGAAATGGGTTAGCAATCCCTTTTTTTAAATTTTCGGTTTCAAAGTACCCTTTTGAGAGGAATTTCATAAAAGGTCGGATAAATTTTCACATTTTACTCCAAGACCCTGGGAGTACTCCAAAACACTAGGAGCAATTCCAAAACCCTGAGAGCAGCCACCCCTCCCTCGGTTAAACATTATTAAAATATTTACAAAGCAGTGGTCATAGGAGTAATTCAATGTTATCAATCCTTTTTTCATCTCAGGTTTGAGCAATGAAAAAGTTGTAAAAACCGCTGGTGGCTTATAGCCCGCGCAGAATCAATCATTATTAAACTGATCCCCAATTTTTTAAAGATTATGAGCTTACAAAAAATGCTAAAAAGAGCAAGTGCACAGCATAAAATTTTTTCATGTCCTAAATATACAATAAAATGGTTTTTGTCCCATGGTTTTACCATTCTACGAAGGCCTCTAAGTTCAAACTTAGTTTTAATGAAGTTAAAAAAATGCAATTCTTCTTGAATTTTGTGCAGGCCCAGTTTAGCCCTCATATAGATATTTAGATTGTAGGCCGTGTTTTGTTTTGATAAAAAAATCAAAAAATCAAAAAATCGAATGGGGTGGGGTGTAGAGTGTCGAATGGGGTGGGGTGTAGAGTGTGTGACACCAGTTCTCGTTAGATCAACGAAGTTAACCAGTTTAAAATTACCATTTTCTTATTTTCACCCTGTGGTATCTTCACAATTATAATGGATACACTTGTTCAGTTGCATGATTTGGAAGAAAATAAGATTTTGTCCTTACTTTAGTTCACATAACGTTAAAGATAAGGTTGAATAAGTGTATATCCTTATTTCGCACCTGAAACCTAACGGGGAAAAATATAGAATCACTCTAAAATTCACTTAAAAAAATATTTGTCAATAGGTATATTGCAAAAAAATGTTTTTGTTTTTGTAAAAATGCACGAATACGCCACACGTTTCCGGGGCCAAAAAAAATCGTAGGGAGACAAAATTTGCACACACCTGAACAATGACAAATTCCGGGACCGACTTTTTTTAAATATTTGATCAGGTTGCTGAGTTGGCAGAGGTCTTTATAAACCCAATTTTTTCCTTTAGTTTTTACTTTTTTTAAACACCCATATGTCATAATTTAACAATGCATATAGCACTTATAGATTTTATTTCTCCATGGCTTTTCAACTGTTCTGAACAGCCCTGTAGCTAAATAATAATAACCCCACGTCCTAGATGAAGCACAGATTTCTTTTCAACCTGATGGTGGAAACTTTTGATATTTCAAACTTAGATTTTTTGATCCAACAGAATTTCTAGTTTGAAATATCGATTTCATTGGTCTGGGAATATGAAGATCAGAGTTTGTGGCAAAGACTCAATTCCTTTTTGAAGAAAGTTGTGCCGCGGAGTCGGACAATTGCTACCTCATTCTTAACTAATTACTTGTAGTGCAGGCTTAGCATTCATCCATGCCTCGCCATTTATTATTCATGCGTTTTATCAGAGAAAGCATTAAGTAAAAAATTAGAAGAATATCTTTTTATATATTTAGCTTTCTGTTTGTTTCTACGTATAACCAAAACAGTCCAAACGGCTGAACCAATCGAGGCCAAATTTTGTGACCCAAGAGAAGATTTACAAAGTGTGTTTATCTTTTAAATCTAGCCAATTTTAACCCTACATTCCCTATATTTTAAATGTAAAAATGGAATAGTATTTACGAAACTTACAATATTCAAGTTTTAATTTTTTAATAATAACGAAATCTTTCAAATGTTTAATATCTCCTTCAATTTTGAAGATATCATTATAGTTCATTATCGGTAAACGAAGACGATTTTCAAGTCGTCTCTTAATTTCCATGTTTTTTTTTTGGGACACTCTACAAGGTAGCAGGTTATGCGATATGAATTGTAATTTGTGTACAGTAAATGTAATATCCATATTTATTTTGATCAATATTAGATCACTGTCCTGTACTATCAATTGTAAACATTTTTTTAATTCGTAATTGTTTTTCTTCAATTTTTCAGAACATAAATTTAAGATCGGCCATATTTTCAAAATATCCTCTTCCTTTCCTCTACAAAATGTTCCAGTGGAAAAAACTTAGGAAATGAAAACTGAATATATTTTTTTAAAGGAACTTAAAGGAAAAATGAAAGGGGGTATAGGCTGAAAGCTAATCACTTTAGCTCTCGATACGACTCGTGAAAGTTATATCTGATGTTCCTATCTCGAGAAATTGATTTACAACATTGTCAAATTTATACGAAAATTAATATATACACAATTTTGTATAAAAGTAGTGGGTTTAAAAAGATCAAATTCAGCAAATAAGCAACCTATCTGAAAACGATGATATCCCAGAGAAAGCTAATTGTAAATTAGGTTTACTCCAATTCTAATTTTATATTTGTTATTTCAATTTAATTCATAACATTATTTATATGTCCGTATTACTTGACCAGAAATTCCACCAACAGCAGTGCAGTAAAGTGGTCACGTGATACAGGCGGAGACACGTGACCAGAATACTGCTCTGCCATTGGTGATAGTTCTGGTCACGTGATTTAAGTTTCAGATTTTCTAAATTTTACATATATGAATTTTGGTATAATTTTTAACACAGTTTTATATCAATTTCTCGAGACAGGAACATCAGATAAAACTTTCATGGGTCGCGATCAAGAGCTAAAGTGATTAGCTTTCAGCCTATACCCCTTTTCATTTTTCCTTTACAGTCCCTTAAAGTCAATTTTTGAAAGTAAAGTAAATTGTTTACTTTACATGGATATTATGTAAATTTAAAGGGAGTGTTCGCGAAAAATTAAAGGGGGTAAAGGCTTACGTCGAAAAATATTCGATGGTGATTGCTACGAATCTTACTTCTATCTGTTGCGTCTATAATGAGACAATTGTTACAAACGACGCATACCGAAGAACGTAGCGTCATTACAAATTTAGAAAGTTGCAACATTCGACGTGGATCGTAAAAAATCATTTAAATTCCAAACAAATCACTCAGATATTACAACCTAAAATCATCGATTTTTTTCGACAATATCTTCCTCATTAATAATCAAATAAAGGTTTCAAGGGTACCGTTGGCAACCGGACATTGCCATCGACACGGTCACTTTATTACGCTTACTTGACCGATCCTTTTAAGAACCTGTTTTCTTCTAGTTTGGTTTGGATTGGTTTCTTACTAATATCATCCTTCCTCTACATTATGGTTTTTAACCTCAGGATCAAGAATATTTCATTTTTACAAAACAATTCAGATCCCTTCGCGGCACTGTCTCACTCTAGTGCTTTGCTAGTCCTTTCATTTCATTATTGAACTCAAAACAGTGTTTAAAAGACTTTCCTTATGTTTCTGAAATAAAAGCTTTAAAGGGACTGTTCACGACCAATACTAGTTCTATTCTGATGTCCCTGTCTCGGGAAATTGATATAAAACGGTTTTAAAGTTTCACCAAAACTGACTCAAAGAAGTTCGCAGTAAGATTTCGATTCTACTGGAGACCACCGGAGGGATTTTATTTTCACTGGAGGGGTTTCAAAAAATGCTTTTTACAATTTAAAACTTTACGCAGGGTGATTTACATTCCACTGGAGGGATTCAGATGTCCTTCCTGGGGGGTAATAATTCCACTGGAGGGATTCAGATATCCATCCTAGGGGTTTATAACTTCTCTGGAGGGATTTCAGTTATCCTTCCAAGGGGTTTATAATTCCACTGGAGGGATTCAGTTATCCTTCCTGGGGGTTTATAATTCCACTGGAGGGATTCAGATATCCT